TTATGTGTTCTGTGTAATATCTCTGCGCGAGGCTCCTATATATATATATATATATATATATATATATATGTGTGTGTGTGTGTGTGTGTGTGTGCGCGCGCGCGCTAATTGAAGCTATATTTACTTGAACTGATTATGTTCTTGATCTATATAGATCCAAGCAATACTTGAACTCCAAATTCTCAAACTATTCGAAAAGCTCGTTCAGATTTAGAATCGTTCTATTCTCGGTCTCCAACTCCAAACTTCCAATATTGCCAACACAAAAAAATTCAATTTTTCTTTTCGAATTTGGATTTGAAAACCAGAGATTGGGAAAGAAACGCAGATACAAGAATATACCGAAACAATTGATACAATCAACAACCAACAAGAACATTAATACAACAAAAAAAAAAAACAGAAAGAGCGACAAATTGAATAAGAAATCATCATACCTTAATCGAAGAATCTGAACGGAACAGAGCAGAAACGAGCTAGAATTGGCTGAGAGAAAAATAAATAAATAATAAATAATAAATGAAGAAGATCGCGATGAATCTGGGTATGGAATGTATTGAAAAGAGAAAAAAAGGAAAGTGAAAACGAATGAGCTTGGGAAGCGGGGAAAATTAAAAGTAAAGAGAGAAGAAAAATGGTTGTAGATGGAGGGAAACAGAGTACTGGCGAGATGGACGGTAACGGCTCGGGTACGTAAAAATGCTGCCGTGTGTTGTGTGTCCATATATAGACATTTCTTGTTTGGAGATTTCTTGTTGCCGTGTGATGGGATTCTCTAGTAGGTCTAACATTATGTCAGATTTTTTTTAGTGGTTAGATTTATATATATATATATATATTTTTTTTTTTTTTTTTTGTATGTGATTTTATATAAATTTAATAAATAAAAAATTTAATCTATTAATATGTTAGTGTACTAAAAAAAATCTCTTTTTATTTTATCCCATTAATCAAAATAATAATTAATCTCGTTTTATCTTTCTTTTTTCCTTGAATGATACTAGAGACACCATTTATAATCTCAAATTTTTTATATAAATTTACGTGATATATGAATTGTCATCTTTTTATTTATAATTGCTCAAAATATTATCAAATCAATTAATAATAAATGACTACATCTATTAGTAAAAATACGACAATTTTATATCACGCAAGTTTGTACAAAATAATTGGGATTAGAGTTTCCTAACATTACATTTTTTCTTTTTGTGAAATCTTTCTTGTGGACAATAAAGAAATAAATTATTGAAAAAGTTTATATTTTCAGCCGTTAAATTTATATTAAAAATATTTTATTATTCTGATGTGATTTTTAGAAGATTTAATAGACAAAAACCGCCCTATATATTGGTGGAGAAATTCTACTAGAAAAAAGTCCTTTTTATCGTTGATTCTTTTTTGTTTTAAGTGATATTGATTCTAATATAAATAGACATGTTGTTGACGGCTTGACACTATACATTCATCAAGAAGTTTAACCAATGAAGAGATTAATTATAACTACAACAAAAATTTAGTCAAAAGTTAATTGTTAACGCACTATAATTTGTTCTTGACAGTTTTCATGTCATAAAAGTGTTATATGTGGCATCGTTCATTTCACCGATTCGAGTTTTCAGTTCTAAGTTTTTACAGTAAAAAACTCTCAGAAAATGTCACATCTAACTTTTTCTGCTACAATGAAAAGTTTTCAGAAAATGTCACATCTCAGCTCGAATTGAAAATTCGAATCTGCGAAGTGAAGGAGGCGATAGTAACCTCATTATCAAGAGTATTTAAGCTGTACTTTTCAATATACGCAAGTAAAATATCATTTTATTGTATAGCTGATTCTTCATATTCATAGCAAGAAATGCTACATTCAGAATAGCAATAACAAATTGTGGAATTAATGTTGATGTAGGAGTCTATCAACGAATATATATACATTTTTTTTTTTTGTCTCAACCATTTATTTTTGTATAAGATCACCTATGCTTTCTAATACCAAGAATATGTTGTTGAAACAAAGATTAATAATGTAAGTTTCAAGTTGATCGTCAAGCAGAACTTAGTACACAAATATTTTGCATAATAGATAAATTGAATTAATTTCTTTTAGTAGAAGATGAGAATGATCATTTGGACTAAGCATGCTATAAAAAAGCAAGTTGGATTTTTTTTCGTGATGGATAAAAAACAATTTAGAATTTACTTTATTAACAATCATGATTTAACTCTTACATTTAGTTAATAGTATAAAATAACTTACAGAGAAGGAGAAGGGATTAAATTAGGTTACATTTACCTTTTCTTTTCATTTCTAATTCTTATTAAGTTAAAAGGCTTTTATGTGTGAGAGCTAGGAGTGTATGTCGGTTAAAAATCGATGAGTTTCTATTAGTCAGTTTCATATCAAAGATGGTTAGTTTTGAGATTTGGAAATTGAGGATCGAACCATTAAAAAGTAAAATTGGACATTGGTTCTAAAATGATGGTGGTCAATTTGATTGTGGTTGTATTTTGTTTATAAAAATATAATGTGTGTGTGAGTTTTCTAGGCCGTAACCCGACGTTTCATTTCCCATTTTTTTTATTTTTTTAAGCATAATATAGAAATATTTTTCAAAAAAATTTAACAAAAACTTAATTGAAATGTATTGAGCATTAAAACTTAATTGTATAATAGACTATTTTAATTTTTTCGGGATATATGCATATAGGTTAAAATAAATAAAAAGTTGAAAGCGAGCTCAAGTTTGAGGCCCTTTCGTCCCTAAATTTAACCTATCACTTACAGTATCATAATAAAAAGTCCTATGATAAATAATAAATTTACAAGGAGGCAAGAGAAAGAACGTAAATACAATTTTTAACGTAAATACAATTTTTTTTTAAGTGTTCACCTTTAATTAAAAATTAACTGCTTTTTCCTTTCACAATTTAAATAACAACTTAAATTTTTTGTTACATTATTTTTCTCACAAAAATATAAATTTAACTTTTTTACGATAAATATTTTTTTTCGTATAAATTTACTTCTCAACTCGAACTTACGAAAAGAGCGTGTCCTCATGTATTGAGATTTGTTAAAAAGGTGAAGATTTCTTTATGTAGAAAATGATTACATAGAGTCTTTTTGCGAATCAAAATGGTTTTAGTTTTTGATAGTTGAGCTTATAAATATTCAAATTAGATGCATGAACATAGTCAGTATCAACCTGTAAAATCATAATTGAGAGCTAGTAGATCTTCTTTCGGGACGATGAAAAAAAATATACTACATAGAAAGTAAATTTTAAATTTATTTGTACGGATGCCCCATGAATTTTGCGTGTTTGGCCATTTAGTTTCTAAACTTTGAATTTTAACAATTAACCCCTTAAACTTTACAATATGTTACATAGTCAATTCAATTGATAACACTGTTAAAAATTTAACATAATTGTCATATGTCACTCACATGCACAACTTACTAAGGATCAAATTCAACTTTAATAATATATTTCAAAAAAAATCCAAAACATTAAAAGAAACCAAAAGAAAAATCAACAAATCTAAACGCAAACCTCGTCTAGTCATCTATCTCTCTCTCTCTCCATTTCTTCTTGGACCTGATCAAAGCTCCGCACATCTTCTTCCTTTCATTCAACATTAGAATTTCACAAATCACCATTCAAATAAATTCTCAATATATATTACAACGATAATCATAATGAAACCAAAATAAATTTGTTTGGTTGCTTAAAGAAAGAAGTGAAATCCCACATACCAAAAGCATTTGTCAATAATGGCAGAGAACATTCAAGCAACAAAATTTGAACCTCAAAGCACAAAAAAATAAAATAACAAAATTTCAGAAATAAGAGAAGAATATAGCTAGGGCTATACATAAGTTGGGTTGGTGCGAGGTAAGGTTTTTTCTTACCTCGCCTCCAAAGGGTGCGAGTTGCACATATTTCATATTTGGCCCCAACGATGTTAAAAAAATTTTACAACCCAATGATGTTTGGGTTGTGTTGGGTTGGGTTGGGCCGGGCGAAGTGGGTTGGGTGGTCAGGCTCATCATTCAAAAAATGAAAGTTCAATCCAAAAGCGGAGAGAGCCAAGAGGAAAGGCGGAGAGAGCCTGAGAGCCGAGAGGAGAGGCAGAAAGGAGAGGTGAAAAGAGGCCACCAGCGGTCTAGAACTTAAGGATCTAGTTCGACTGGTCAAGGAAGGACTGAAGATAGTCTATGTCTGCGTGTGGAGAGGATAGTTGCTAGACGAGAGAGAGTAGAGCCTAGGGTTAGAACTTAGAACTTAGAGGACATGGCCCATGCATGTCTGTGCGGGTTGGGTTGGGGTATGCGGGTTATCAGAGGCCCAACCCACAAACCGCCCCAAACACCTCGGGCCAGACATTTAGTGGGCCGAAAAATAAAAAATAATGTTACAAGTTGCTTTTTACGGGTTGAGTTGGGGTGGGGTGGTTGGGTTTGCGGGTTGTTCGGGTTTATGTACAACACTAAATACAGCAACTTGAAATTACAATTTCATTTCATCATTGCAAATTAAACAATTTAGGGCCCGTTTAGTTCGCTGATTCGAGTTTTTAATTCGAGTTGAGATGTGACTTTATGTGAGAGTTTTGACTGTAGCAAAAAAATTAAATTTTACTGTTTCTTATAGTTTTTTTACTGTAGCAAAAAATGAATTATAAACTCGAATCGGTAAAATGAATGGGCTTACATGTATGAGTAGAATCTGGAGAGGCGACAATCATCGTCTTCCTCCCTAATAATGTCAACAACCCATTACATCATCGGGGCTCATGTTGGCTAGAGGGTGAGGAGTTCACAATGCCGTGGGAAGGGGGTTAGGTTCGTGCGGGCATCGATCGGCGAGCGTGTGTAGGGAGATTGTCACTTTTATATTAGGTAGATACCCTAATTAGTTTTTTGTGTAATTTGTTTTTAGGCTATTTTGCATGCACACTCCCTCAATTTTATGAGTTTGGTAAATTGGTCTCTTAACCTTTTTTTGGCAATTTACCCGTTAAATTTTAAAATTTATTGTAATGTTAGTTAAATTGAAAACGAAGTTAAAATTTAGACGGTGTCTTCCACATGAGTGTTCAATGAGGGTAATTAACATCTTTTTTCCATTGAATTGATCATCATATACGCATCACGAGCGAAATTTTTTTTGAAATTGAAAGTTAAACATTTTGGAGAAAAAATTAAGAGTCCCCTAATTTCCAAATTTTTTTCATTCATGACATGTTTAAAGGGTTCAATTCAATGCAAAAATACCAGAATTATTTTTTATTAAACATTCATGTGAAAGATACCGTTTAAATTTTTAACGTCGTTTTCAATTTGACCAACAATACAACAAATTTCAAAATTTAAAGAGTGAATTGCCAATAAAAAAAAAGTTAATGAACTAATTTATCAAACTCGTAAAATTAAGGGGAATGAGCATGCAAAAAAGCCTTGTTTTTAAATATGTTATATATATTAAAAAATATATTAGTGAAATTATGATGCTCAGATATGCACTTACGTGAACATTTTTTCTCTTATCTATATGTACAACTTAATTATTTTTTTATTTACTTTGTCCATATCAAAATCTTTCTTTTAGCATGGTCGATTTTATTTATAAAAATATAACATTTTGACAAAAATATGCGTTATGATTAAAACACACATTTTCATACATCTATTCTTTTTAAATCTAATTTTTTAAATGCGCTTCATAAAAAAATGTACATATATGTAATTATTTTTTAATTTCTTTTATTATTACATGTTTAAAATTAGAATGAGTTTCTTTAATAAAAATAGATTGCTCAGGTGACACACATAGCAAAACAAAACATGAGAAAACACTGTCCATAAAGAATAACATTAAAGACAAATGCAATAGATAAACATAGGGACCTAAATGCAACACAAGTGTAAACGCATGTTTGGTAAGAGGGAGAGATGGAAAGAGAGAGAGAGTTGAAGGGAGAGTCGTGGAGGGCGAAGATGAGGGCCCGTTCGGTTCGTTAATTCGAGTTTTTAATTTGAGTTGAGATGTGATGTTGTGTGAGAGCTTTTTACTGTAACATAAAAGTTAAATGTGACTGTTTCAGAGAGATTTTTACTGTAGCAAAACTCGAATAAAAAAAAAAAACGGGGCTTATTTGATAGGAAGGAGAAGAGGAGGGAGAGGAGATATAGAGAGAGAGTATCTCTAGACCCACCATTTTAAATCATTCTATTGAGCCAATCTAATTAAATTCAAATAAAAATTATTTTTTCACCATTCAAAATAAATTATTAAAAAATAATAAAATAGACAATATAATAATTAAATAAATAATCTTTATTTATTTTTTTAACTCTCATTACATCCAATTAAATAATATAAAAATTTATTAAAATCTTCTACATCCTTTCTATTTTCCAATCATTCCAACTCTCTCTATCATTCGTTCTATCATTCATACTCTTTGGACTTGTTCTTTTGAGTGAAAAACTCAAAAAAATACAACTTGAGTTATAACTTTATTCGAGTTCATGTTCTTTTCAGTTTAAACTCGAGTTCAAATTCGAGTTTAAGACTAAAACTCAAGTTCAAGTTTCTCCTTCAACTCGAGTTTAGAAACTCGAACTCAAATTAATGAACAATATTTTTTCTATTCTTAAAAATGCTATAATTTTTTCGTTTTAATTATGATTGAGATGATTTTTTTTCTATGCGTTGACAACGAAAAGACGAATAAAACCCGACCCATATACCCTATTAAAATTTTTCATCAGCATTGAGTTTTTATTAAAATACTATCTAAATATAAATTCAAGTTTTGACTCATTTAAACACAAACTCAAGAAGATTCTTATCTCAAATCATAACTCAAATGTACACAATTAAATACAAACTCAAGTTATAAGTTTAACTTAAATTATAATTCAAATTTAACTTAAAAATTATACTCAAATTAAATTCCAAAAGAGCAAACTTTTTATCTGTGTAACTAAACGGAGCCTTACACAATAGCGCAATTACCAAAAAAATAAATAAATAACAAAGGAGAAGGACTGACCGACTTTTGACACGTCTAGATATCATACTTGAGCCAATGAAATTTCGCCACGTCAAAGTTTTTTGCCAACGTGTACCCGGCCACTAGAAACGAGGAAGACTTTGTCGATGAGATTCAATACCAATTGACCGAAATGCCACTATATGATCTCGTCAACTCCGCGATCTCCAAAGCAATCAAACCCCACCATTAAGGTTATTACAGTAATTTCGTCTATCTTCAATTCTTCTACAGCCACTACCAGAAAGAAAAAAAGAACGACCCAGCGAAGTTCGTTGTTATTCCGAAATTTGTATCTGCAGAGATTAGAAAGTCTTGATCCGATCAGTGATCAAAAGATGGCCTGGGGAAATCTTCGAAATTGAATTAAGATTTTTTTTTCTGTTTGATCTCTCCGGTTGATTCGAAGCTGCTTCTCTGCGTTTCCGCCATGGCTGCTCCTTTTTTCTCAACTCCATTTCAGCCCTATGTTTATCAGGTTCTCTCTCTCACACTCTCTCTCTACGATTTCATCTTATTCTTTTGAATTATTATTTCAGGTTTGCTATTAGGTCTATTTCTTGAAGAAATTTGATTTATACTTCCGCTATTCCCATCTATTTTCCTTGAATTGGAAAATTAGATTTTTTTGGGGGGGGGTGAATTTAGGGTTTTAGCTCGGTTTTAGGCCTTACATTCGTCTTAGGGTTTTTGGATTTGGTGCCAGTGGATGGCTTATTCGATTAATGAAGCTTGATATGTGCTTTTATTCCAGTGCCACTATAAGTCGGAGCTTAATTAAGAGGATAAACTAGAATTTCCAGAAAAAAAGACAGGATTCTAATTTTTGTTGTTGGTAATGGATGGTTTTTAAGTGGAGATCATCGTTGTTGATTTCGTGTATTTGGGTTTTGGTAATTTTAGTGTCCATTTATATGCCTATTATAGAGTTTGGTTTGATTTAAGAAGTAGCCACTTTTGTATTAAGTTGAATTTGGGAATTTCCTTTGTATTTTATCCTTAATAATGGGATAATGTCTTGTAGAGTCCACAAGATGCCATGATACCTTTCCAAATATTGGGTGGTGAAGCTCAGGTGGTTCAGGTATATGCTTAAACATCGCGAAATTTGTTGTTCAATCTTTATTTTCTCTTGTACTCTTTTGTTTCTCTGCCCTTTTTAAGTTAAAGTTTGTCCTTGTTCTTTTTCTTGCATCTTTCAGATAATGCTGAAGCCTGAAGAAAAGGTTGTTGCAAGGCCTGGTAAGTTTCCTTTTGAACGTGTCATTATTTTTTACCATCACATTCTTTGTTGGTTTGTGTTCCTTTTTTCTAGAGACGGTGGCTTACCATTTTTCCTCCTACTGATTAGCTAATGCAATCCTCCATCATGTTTGGATCTCTTTAGATGATTACATAGTATATTCTTTATAGTCGAGATGCTTGACATATTGCATTCCAAATCCCGGCCTTTGGAATGTTTATTGCCAATGAGATGTATTCGAAACATGAGCTGTGTATTGATGGTTGATTTTACGAAGAACTTGACTTCACAAACGAAACTTATTTGTAATTTAAGACCTAACGTACTGTTTTTGGCCTGCCACTGTCTTTTGAGTGTTTTGTTCAGTTGACCAGTGCCTCTGCACTGGATGGTTGTACTGCTTGTGAATTGGAGTAGGAGCTTAGAAATCTTTGCCACATTCTTCTAGCATATTGTCAGTTGTGACCTAAAATGAATTTGTTTTCCGCGTTCCCTACCGCAGTTTCTGGTTGTTATGGGAGTTGACTAATACCTTCTCTGGTTTTATCTTGATATATCTAGATAGCACTTAAGAGCATCTCCAATGCAATGCTATTTGTTGTGTCAAATTTGCCATATGTTATACTTTGTGGCAAAATTCCCACCAAGTATAGCATATGGTAAATTTGGCATTTGATTCATATTGGTTGATATGGATACTTTTTCATTTAATCATTACAACTTTTGCTTTTTCAAATTATTTTAAAATTAAAAATTTACTTTTACAACTTTCAAAGCTTAATGATTATAGAAAAAGTAGATTTTAGCATTTCAAATGGCATTATGCATTGGAGCAAAAATAAAAATAATATATCATATCATACTTTTTGGTGTCAAATATACAATTGGCATTAGCATTTGCATTGGAGATGGTCTAATTTCATTACCACGCACAAATGGTTGATGAACTAGTTTGCAGGTTCAATGTGCTTCATGTCTGGGTCAATTGAAATGGAAAATGTATTTCTTCCTGAAAATGAAGTGGGCGTGTGGCATTGGCTTTTCGGCAAGAGCATCACTAGCATAGTTTTTCGTAATTCTGGCCCAAGCGATGGATTTGTTGGTATTGCTGCTCCATCTCTTGCCAGAATTCTCCCGGTTTGTGCTTTTAAATTATCAAAGTTATTGTGAACAAGTCATTTTTTCATCTCTATTAATTTGGGCCTAGTTGGCCTAGTTTATGTGGTTTTCAAATTGCAGTTGAATGTAGTCGTCTCTTGTTTTAAATACGAATTACTTTTCAGATTGATTTGGCAATGTTTGGTGGAGAAATTTTATGCCAGGTACTTTTATCTTCTTCATAGATTACTTTTTCTGTTCTACTTAGTCACTTTATTAAGTCTTCTTCTTGTATCGTATGGTTATTTACTTTAATTCTTCCTTTTTCATCTTAGTTTTCTTTAGCTAAAATTTTATGGGACTTTCATTTTAATTTTGTAGCCAGATGCATTTCTTTGCTCTGTCAATGATGTCAAAGTCAGTAATACAGTCGATCATAGGCCACGTAATGCCATTGCTGGCGCAGAGGTGAGGTCTTAAGGAGCTTCGTAGCTACTTTGTTTGTTTTGCTTCATACAATTTGTTGATTTATTTTGCATTTTTTAGGCCCCGTTCATTTCACCAATTTGAGTTTAGAATTCGAGTTTTACTACAGTAAAAAGCTCTAAAAAACAGTCACATCTAACTTTTTTGTTACAGTAAAAAGCTCTCACATGAAGTCACATCTCAACTCAAATTAAAAACTTGAATCAGCGAACTAAACGGGCTCTTAGTATTCTCTTTTATTTTGTTCCCCAAGTTGCCGAATTTTCATCTTATCTATCTCACATTCATGTCACTATTATTTAGGGATTTCTAAGACAAAAACTATCTGGCCAAGGGCTTGCGTTTATACTTGCTGGTGGATCTGGTATGCACTTCTTTGCCCTACGTATGTATATTTTGTGAAATTGAGAAAGTGACTTTTTATGAATTTGGGTCCACCATGCATTGTGAAGAGAATGCTAATATTAACTTTCTTGGCTCTTTTTATATTTATTTTTATTTTTATTGTTGTATATAATTCTAGAGTATAACTTTACCGGGCCCAATTTTTTAACTTACGTGTGTCATGACTAACAGAAACATTAAAGACTTAAAAAGTGTGTATAATTTTTTCAACAGCAGACTTGTTGGATAATGGATCCTCTTCATTTTCCACCTCTTTGATTTCGCCTAAACCTTTGATAGGAATTTGGATAAGGCATGCCTTCCTGGAGCCTCTAGTTTGTAGAACTGGATATAGGGTTCTAACTAACTGATTTGAGATTATTGTCTTCTCTGATACTTGGGGAATGTGGTTTTATTTCTGCTAGTTGTACAGAAAAATCTTGAGGTTGGTGAGGTACTAGCTGTTGACGTGTCTTGCATTGTCGCGTTGACTGCCACAGTCAATATCCAAATCAAATACAATGGTCCCATGAGAAAAGCAATGTTCGGGGTAAGATATTCAAAATTCTATCAGCTTTCATTCCCATTCTCGTTGGTGTCTGATTTATTGTTTCTGTGTTTTATGTTAATTTCTCAAACTAAGTTGGTGGTGTTTACATGTATGTATTATTTAAAAAGATAGACACATCAATTGTAATTTTGTCAGATAGAATTACTTTCAGTTCAGTGAGTTTTGGGGCTATAGTTATGGTTGGCACTAGGCGGAGTGTATATTGGCTAAGACAACAAGGTCTTTTTTATGGTTGTAGTATGTTGTGCAAGTATTATTGCAGTTCTCCATGCATGTTGCATTTCTCTTCTTAGATCTTCTTAGGTAGGTTTCATGGTAAAGTAGAGTAAGGTAACAAAACAGACCCCTCCTCTTTACAAGAATGATACTTAAAGTCAACTGGAAGGTTCTCATGGTTATCTAATAGTATTGAATGACCTTTTTGCACCTTTTGGTCTTTCCACTGATTCCCACTAGCCCTAGGCTCATCACCTCTGCCATGGCAAGCGACCATTTTTTCCACTCACTTTTCACATGACTTTTGGGGTTCTCAGATACCAGTGCGCCAGTTTAATTGTTCATCCTGTGTACTTCCAATAATTTATGCTTTTCCCAACTCCTCTCGAAATGCAGGGCGAAAATCTAGTAATGGCCGTTCTAACAGGACCGGGTATTGTCTTCATCCAGAGCTTGCCATTTCACCGACTTTCCCAGCGCATTGCTAGGTAATGTTTCCCTTATGACTGAAAGTATGAATGTTTTTACCTTATCTTTTGTGTATTTGGTTTATTTCTTGCTTTATCAAAGTGCATGGTTGTTTGGTTTGCAGGGCAGTCACCTCCCCAAATATGAGGGAAAATCCGAAGTTTTTCCTTCAGATAGCCATTTTCTTTTTTCTGGCATATGTCGTGATTGTATCTTCCTTGATTTTAACCGATGTATAAATCTAACTTCTTTTTTTTTTTTTTTATTCCTACAAATACCCAGCATCATATTCTCCTTTTTCCGACTGTTGGTTCAAGTGTAGTTTTATTCAATTTTATTAATATAACCATAATAGAAACAAAAAGGTTTTAAAGTTGTTTTTGGGTATGTTTAGTAGTGTTTTTTAGAGCTCAAAATAACTTCTCTACCCATTCATATTTGAAATTTGTGATTTGTGTTCGGTAGAAACTAAAAAAAGTGTTTATTAAAGAATTTGCAAACAATCCACTGCCAAAAGCGGATGATCCATGTCTGGATAATTAATGAAACTTTCATAATATCCTAAATCATCCATGTCTGGATAATTAATGAAACTTTCATAATACCTTAAATAACTGTAATGAATTCTAAAAATAACATGCTTGTCTCCGCCTGATGAATTGTAACAAATATCAGAGAACACATTCAACGTTTCATCTTCTCCACTCACTTTCGATTACTTATTTTTTCTGTGAAATCAATGCACTTTAAACCATTCACTGAGAAACATAAACAACATCTTTGAAAATTCACAAAATTCACAACAATAGATTTAGACCAAAAAAAAAAACTTGAAAATTAACGCAATAAGAAAAACTTCAAATTAGCTTTCAACAGATGGGGGAAGAAAGTAGGAAATCAATCGGTGAGGAGGTGATTTGGCCGGGTTCGCGAGGGGAGAGGAGCAACATCTGTGATGGGGTGGGTGGGGATGTGATTAGGATCTGGGTTTTTTTTAGGTCCGCTAGTGAACCCATGGAAGAAAAATACTATACTTTTGGGTCTGCAAGTGATGGAAGAAGAAGACTTGCTGAGAACAAACAAAAAAGAAAAAGAAAAAGAAATAAGAAGAAGACTTAGGCTCCGTTCATTTCACCAATTTAAGTTTATAATTTGAGTTTTGTTACAGTAAAAAGTTCTAAAAAACAGTCACATCTAATTTTTTTATTATAATAAAAAACTTTCATATAAAGTCACATCTCAACTCGAATTAAATATTCGAATCGACAAACTAAACGAGTTTTTAATTTTTTAATTTATTATTTGCTCTGTTCATTTTCGATCAAACAATCAGTATCCAAAGCAAGCAATTTTCCTTTTTTTTTTAATGGAGTTTTTTAAGGTAGTTTTTTTTTTTTTTTTTTTTTTTTAAATCCCTTTCTTTTTGAAATAATTTTTTTTTAAAAAACATTTTTTAAGGGAGTTAAGCAAATATTTGTGTATAAAACTAGAATAAGTATGTATTTATAAATTTTTATATCGTGTCTATTTTAATCATTTTAATTACTCATAGTAATTCAACCTCATAATTTATCAGACACTGTTATACTGCTTTTGAAACTAACAATACTTATAAAATTACAGTTTATCAAATACTCAACTATTTTTTATAACAACTGTTTTTCGCTTTAACACAACTGACAACATTTTTATTAAAATCTACAGCACTACTAAATGACACTTAATACTACGGGCTTGTTCATTTATATTTTTTGAGTTAGAGTGATTTGAGTTAAGGTGTATTTGAGTATGGTTTGAGTTATGACTCTAATTTGAGTTTGTGTTTGGATATGCACATTTTGAGTTATGGTTTGAATTGAGAATCTATTTGAGTTTGTGTTTAAGTGGGTCAAAACTTGAATTTATATTTGGATAGTATTTTAATAAAAACTCAATGGTAATAGAAAATTTTAATATGGTATATGTGTGGGGTTTTATTCGTCTATTCGTTGTGATTGCATAGAAAAAAATCATCTCAATCGGAATTAAAATGAAAAAGTTGTGTCATTTTTAAGAATATAAAAAATACTGTTTATTCATTTGAGTTTGAGTTTATGAACTTGAGTTGAAGGGAGAACTTAAACTCAGATTTTAATCCTAAACTCAAGTTCAAACTCAAATTTTATAAAAAAATATGAACTTTAATAAAATTATAACTTGAGTTTAAACTTGTTTTCAATTTAGATGTAAATGAACAAACGTGTTTTCTTTTTGTTTGGTAAACGTTTTCTGACAGATCCCACCATCGTGACTGTTAGTGACACTGTACGTAACCTTGAATTTGCTATAAATAGCTTGGATGACAACTTTTTATTATTATTATTTTTTGGGGGGTAGAACTAGAATGTTCCGGACTATCTGAGAGCGAATCGTGTCTCATTGATCAATCCAACGACAAAAATTGATAGCAGAAAAAAAGAAAGAATCCAAGGATAATACAACGGCTGTGTTTGAAATTGATTTTATTTTTGTTTTTTACGTTTTTCAAGAAAGAAAAAAATAAAAACATTTCTAAAACGACGTTTGACACAATAAAAATAAAAAATAGAAATAAAAATGATTTTTTTGTTTAGTGTAAAATGAGAGAAATAAAAAACGACTTTTAATCGTTTTTCAATTTTTGTTTTCATTTTCTCCTCTCCAGAGCATAGAGAGAGAAAAAAAGACATTAATGGATTTTTTTATACTGAAAATAATCTTTTGATAAAACTACTAAACACATTTTTAAAAATGATTTATGTCTGAGATTAAAAACGTTTTCATCTTCATTTTTATATAAAAAATAAAATTATTTTAGAACGAGTTCCAAACGCTCTCAACATTATTCATTTTAATAAACATTTTTCATCTTGCACCATTGGGGTAGAGCCGGGAAAAAAAAAGCGGGAGAAAATAAAAAATAAAAAAGTGGTGCCTCGCCTTCATGGTTGGACGCGTGATTTTACATGTATTGATGAAGAGCCTAAAGCTTATCGCCAAAAAAGTAAAAATAAAATCATTTAAAATTATTTGGAACATTTTTTTTGCAAGAACAAGCATACTAGTATTTGCGTAACAAAAATCAAAGACTTGACTCTTGAGTTTGATACAAGAGTATGCTTTTCTCACCATATTCTTTTGTATCATTATAAAAAAAAAAAAAAAAAAAAAAACTCCACAAATTACTTGTTATAAGTTTATTTTCCCCTGATGTAATAATGCGATGTAGGATGTAATAATGGAGCATCTGATTCACTAATTCACCATTCAGCAAATTGGTCTATTCTTATTCACCAAAAACAAAAAATAGTGTGATTCTTGTTTATTCATTAGTATTCTCAGTGCAGTGAAATTTCAGAGTGTTGACAGCTTTAACATTCTTGTTTAACTTCATTACTTTATTTAAAATTTTAAAAAGAGATAAATTGTATCTTAGATTCTGAAAAAGGAAAAAAAAAAAGTGAAAAAAAGCTTAAAAACAAAAATGAAAACGACAATTGAGAAGTGTATATAACTTTCTTTAAAATTCCTATAAAACAATTACGCGTTTAGTAACAAACTCGTTCATTTCGCGAATTCGAGTTGAGATGTGACATTTTATGAGAATTTTTTACTGTAAAAATTTAAAACTGAAAACTCAAATCGGTGAAATGAACGAAGTATTAAGAGGACAAAATGAAAAGAAAAAGACGAGACTTTAGCTTTAAGAAAAATAAATAAATTATATGAACCATGCGTCATGAATGTGTCTGTTTGATTTATGCGTTTAAATCAGTGATTTTTAATTTTAACATTTAAATTTTAAATTTTTATGAGAAAAAATACTGTAACAGAATCAAAACTATAATTATACGTTTGGTTTATAAATTCAGAATTATTCTCAATTTATGTGTATTTTTTATGAGAAAAAACACTATAACAAATCACGAATTATAATTTAAATTATGACACGAATTCTCATACCAAACACATACATTTATTTGAACACGTTAAACAAACGAGCATTTAGGCTAATATATAAAATTAAAAAAAAAAAAAAAAAAACACGGCGCAAAAAAAGAAAGCGTGTATGATCGCTCGTGCCAGAAAAGGCAAATTATTCCGTCCCCTATAAATACATAATTCAGGGACTCTATTTCATGGATCGCTAATCATCCGAAAATCCAATCCTCGATAACTCTCTCTCCACCAAAAGCTTCCAAACCCTAACCCTAGTTCTCAACCATGCTCTTCGACCTCTGCAATCGTCCCCGGGCTTGAAAATTAGCGGAGGAATTTTGTTCGCGCCGTCAATTTCTCGGGATTTCGCTGGAAGATTCCCGATTTCTCTGTTTTCGGGTGTGCCAGAAGCGTCTCGAGTTCGCGAGTTTTTCCGAGGCCAGTCGAGGATTTCCGCGCGAAGATCCGATCCCGGATTGGTTTGTTGTTCGCTCATCGGATCAATTCCTGAATCTAGGGTTTTCCGATTCTGGAACTTTTTTTTTGGAGGAAGAGATCGGCGTTTGCTTTGTCCCGTTTTGAGAAGAAGAACCGGTGATTCGTCTTCCTCCGGGAGGTGAAGTTTGATTTGCAACGGCGGTGATCGGCAGTGGAGGAAGCCCTTGACGCACTGGTTGATTCAGATATTTTTTCTCGATCGAGGCTTCGCAAGATTACGTCTCTGCCAACTTTCTGCATAATTGGATGCACAAAATTTTCGTATTCCAGAAAAATCTCGGTCTCAATTGAAGAAGATTTTGGACGAGCTTCGACGCGGCGGTTCGATTCCTTATTGAGTATTTGAAGAAAAAGAAAATAAAAAGAGCTTGAATTTTTGTACCTTTCAATTTTTATTTTTGTTTTTTGAATATAAGGGCCGTATATTTTTTTTGGTGGCCTTTGAATTTTGGTTATCTTGGCTTCAGGGCTTTTGTTTGTTCTTATTTTGATATAATATTATTTTTTTTAGAAGACATTAAAGAAAAGAATTTACCATGGCGGTGTATTATAAATTTAAGAGTGCGAGAGATTATGATTCAATTCCTATGGACGGTCCTTTCATCTCAGTTGGTACTTTGAAAGAAAAAATTTTTGAATTCAAGCATTTGGGAAGGGGTACTGATTTCGACCTTGTGGTCACCAACGCCCAGACCAATGAAGGTTGGTTCACATTTAGATATACAGTTTATTCTCTTCAAAACTAGCGTTAATTTAATCCAAAATATGGCTTCTAGGTGGTTAGATAATAATGGTTTGGTTTATATTGATTATATGATGATTAGTTGTATAGAAGTTGGAAGAGGGGTGGGGTTGTTGCACGGTTAATTTCAATTGGCATTTTGGGTTATTATTGTCATCGCGTGCTCTTTATCTTATATATTAGTGGCTGTCAAGGGTGTGGTAAAATTAACTCAGTAAAATACAAAATCTTCATCGGCGAAATTTGTGCTGAATTAGCACAATTTGTTAGGAAACACGTCATGAGAACGATGTTGGGATCTGGTGGGATGGTCAGTCTTAGTTTTAGTTCCAAGGAACTATAGTGTTGTTTTGGGTGTTGGGAGGTTCGAATTCTGGTAATGTTTGTTCTTCCAATTAATGTCTTTGCAGTGTTTATCGACTTCTGTTCTCTGTTTCGAATTTCAGAATATCTTGATGAAGCAATGTTGATACCAAAAAATACATCCGTTTTAATTCGTCGCGTTCCAGGAAGGCCTCGTATGCCCATTGTTACTGATCCAAAGTACTATCTCAAACCTTTAACCTGTTATTATTTGTTGAATATCTTAAAAGTTTTGCTGTCACTGTGCAATCGACTGTGAAGGCTTTTAGCAATGTTGGTTTTGTGCAGCTTTCACTATCCCTTGTGGTTGTACTGTTGTTTCTTGTGTAGAATGGATTCAAGTAGCTTGCTAATGTGGCATAAAGCCTGCTGCTACTGTATGACTTTTAGTTGCAATACAAATATAAATTGTTGTGGTTTGACGTATGTTTTGGTTGCAGTCCAAAGGTGGAAGAAAAGGTGGAAAGCACTGAACCGGAAAGGACCAGCTTCCCAGTAGCTGATTCATCTATCATGAAATATGTAAGCTTTAGTCTCCCTCATATTTAATCTGTTAACTAATATGAGATTATTACATTGCGTTGCTTCATCTTCAGTATCCCTACTTTTGTATTCATAATTTCTTACCTGTTTTATCTTGACTTCTTAGCCTGATGACTCTGAATGGGATGATCTTGGGGGTGATTTGTATGAAATTCCTGAAGCCGTGCCAGTTCAGTCAAGTAATGTAATTCCAGAAGCTCCCCCTACAAATAAAGCTGATGAGGATAGCAAGATTAAGGCATTTATTGAAACTCCAGCCTTGGATTGGCAACGGTTAATCTCTTTTTTCTGTATTTTCTTGATTAGTTAATTAATATTGTAATTTTCATTGGAATTTTCAACTTTTTATAGGCGTGTTGTGTTGGTATCATTTTGTAGACTGAATAGTGTGCTCACGTTTTTGTATTTGAAATGCAGTCAAGGTTCTGATGGGTTTGGTCCTGGTAGAGGTTTTGTCCGAGGTATGGGTGGAAGGATGATGGGTGGACGTGGTTTCGGTGATTCTCTTATTCTTATGTTTATCTTATAAGTTATTTTTACTTAAAAATCTTGTCCTTAACCGTACAAGTGATGAGACTGAACAAATTTTTTATTGATTTCAGGTCGAGTAGGGTTGGAGAGGAAAACACCTCCACAGGGCTATGTATGTCACAGGTGCAAGGTGCCTGGTATGTTTATGTTCTATAATGTGGCATGAATAAAATATTTTGCTTCTTTTGAGTTTGTGGTTAAGAGTAAAAAATGTGCTTTATCTTCTGAAATCTTGTTTTAGGACATTTCATTCAACACTGCCCTACAAATGGCGATCCCAATTTTGACATCAAAAGAGTGAAGCCACCCACTGGCATTCCAAAGTCCATGCTGATGGCAACCCCAGATGGCTCATATGCGTTGCCAAGTGGTGCAGTGGCTGTCTTGAAGCCAAATGAGTAAGTTGATAAATAAGATCTTACTGGCAATATTGTTTATTTTCACTCTTAATCATTGGGGCAAAAAATGATTCAGAATATTTTTTCTGTTAAAACAGAGCTGCTTTTGAGAAGGAAATTGAGGGGTTACCATCTACTACACGGTCTGTTGGTGACCTACCACCTGAGCTACACTGTCCACTGTGCAAGGAAGTAATGAAAGATGCAGTCTTGACTAGCAAGTGCTGCTTTAAGAGCTTCTGTGATAAATGTAACTTGCAGTGTTCCCTGTTTTTCTAATCCCTAGAACTTTGCCACTACTTCATGATACTTCGGTAGTGTAGTATCAATCACCATAATGCACGTGTAAGCTGACATAAATAAAACTTTGCCTCAGGTATCAGGGACTATATTATTTCAAAGTCAATGTGTGTCTGTGGGGCTACAAATATACTGGCGGATGATCTTTTGCCTAATAAGACACTTCGGGATACAATCAATCGAATCTTGGAATCTGGTAATAGTAGTGCTGAAAATGCTGGGAGTACATTCCAAGTTCAAGGTATGCATTTCGGACATCTGGCATCTGTTTCGCTACAACTTGATGTAATTTTTTTTCAACTAATTTCAATTCGATTTTTCTTGTTTTAGACATGGAGTCTGCACGCTGCCCGCAGCCCAAGATTCCTTCCCCAACTATGTCTGCTGCTTCTAAGGGAGAACAAAATCCAGCACCTTGTAATGAAGAAACTCCAAAAGTACAGGAAACTGCAGTTGTGACAAAGCCTGTAATTGCTACACAGCCGCCGATAGAGAAAGTGAGGACTTCCAAAGTGGCTGATGTATCTGAAGCCACCCATGAGTCCATCAGTGTGAAGGAACCAGCATCACAAGGCAGTGCTCCATTAGTTGAGGAAGAAGTGCAGCAGAAGCTGGCTTCTGGGGAACTAGGTAATACATACTTTGAGCAGTTTTCTTATTCCTAGGTTATATCAGCTCAACCACAATTTGTTGCATATTCACTGTCAAATCATAATTTTGTGACTGATGTTACATTACCAGTTGTATGCATTTGAAACCATTTTAGACTTAGTAAGAGAGTTAAAGGAGAAGAGGGGAAAAAAAAAGGAACTAAATCTGTGACAGAAGGAAGCAATGCAAATATATCTGAATATTCCTTATTTCAGGGATCGTCATAACCATCTAGCTTAAATCTATATTTTTCTTTTATTGCAGGAAGGAAAAAGAAAAAGAAGAAAATTCGCATGCCTGCTAATGGTACGTCTTTCATGCTTTTTCTGGTCTATATATTCCCGTTCTAACAAACCAACACACACTTTGTGTTTATTATTGAGATTGGGCATTTTTATTCTACGTACTTCTATTTATTCCTTATTACATTCCTTGCAGATTTGCAGTGGAAAGCCCCACAAGATTTTCCAGTTGATAATTATATGATGCCTATGGGGCCTTCAACGTATAATCCATACTGGTCAGGAGTGCAACCTGGTATGGACGGATTTATGGCGCCATTCCCTGGACCTATGCCTTATATGGGTTATGGTCTCGGACCCCTAGACATGCCATTTCCAGGTTTCGTTCCACAGGATCCATATGCTTCTCAAGGTTGTATGTTCCCTCCTGTTCCACTTCAGAGGTAAGTGTGTGCATTGGTAGATTTCCTTTCTTATCTGGTTAGGTAGATAGATAGATAGACAGACAGACTGAGTTATATGAATGTCAGCGGGCAGATTTCCTGGCACTTGTTATTGACTGCTCTACAAATGCAAATTAATGCTGTGTTGAAAGTATATGAACCTATATGGCTACTCACTATTGGGATAACAATTTTGAATATATACAGGGATCTTGCGGAGTTTAGTATGCCAATGAACCTTCCACCCCCTGCCATGAGTAGAGAGGAATTTGAGGCTCGGAAAGCTGACTTGAGAAGAAAGCGTGAGATGGAGAGACGGGGGGCTGAAAGGTAAAATTGAAATTTTTGTTTTAATTTTTGATTTGTCATGCATCTAGATCAATTTGGGAAACGGTGGATGACATGACACGTGGTCATCTGCATGTTGTTGTCTATAATTTTGTGGCTGTATTTTAGAGTTTAGAAAGTTGTTTTGAATACGAATAGCTTGATATTCTAAATGGCAATTGTTAGCATTAATCTTTCGTAAGGTTTAAAATCTTCTCAAGTTACACAACCTGGTTGGATGATTTCCCCTTTTGAGTTGAAAAGCTCCTACCTCTTGTTTCGAATTTTGTTAGCTTGCTGTTTTCGTTTTGTTAATCCTAGGTTATAAGTTCTAAAGTAAAAATCACTTCATTTGATAGTTAAATAACACCTGCGGCTTCATCAATGGTGTTAATCTGTGGCTTTTTATTTATGGCGCCTGGTAGCTTATTGCTGTAAAACTGAAGTTTCAATTGCCATATGCTTAACCAATTTTACTATTTCTTCTTGCAGTAGGGAGTTCGTGAAAGATCGGGATTTTGGCAGAGAAGTGAGCAGCAGTGGCGACATCCCTATGATGAGACCAAAATCTGTATGTCCCTTTTATCGTCCTAATTTTTCTCCTCCCATTTGTGTACCACAGCAGAAGATTTCTTTCTGGTTTTTAGCAAGATTTTCACAAGACGTCGCCAAATTGGCAAGAAATGCGGTTATCTTCTCCTCCCTAAAAGGAAGAGATGTTTTGCTGCATTTAGAATCAACATGTAGTAGCAATTTCTGTTTTGTTTCCTTTTTTTTTTTTTTTTTTTCTAACCATTTAATTTTTCTTTTTTTTATTTTTTATTATGTTTTGCTGCATTTAGATTCAACATGTAGTAGGAATTTCTGTTTTGTTTCTTTTTTTTTTTTTTCTAACCATTTAATTTTTCCCCTTTTTTTTGATGACTTGTTTAACTATAGTATTAGAAACTAAAATCTAGTCCTAAACAGAGGCAAGCTACCAAAAATCTTGCCGAAGTGAATCAAAAAACTAGAATCTTCGCGTGCGGTGTGCCTTGACGCCTTGTTCGAATTCTTTCCAACTTATTCTGCCAAAGACTTGCATTTCATACTGGTTTCCTCTGTTATGAGTGATTACTTGGCTTTTTTTAATGCTTGTGATTTGTCTACTTTGGTCAGTGCGTGGGCAGTTCATTGCTAGCTTCTAATGGAGGAATGGGACGGATTAATTTTGCTTGTCCCGCTAATTTCCTTTTTTTTTTTTCAAACAGAAGAAACGATTTTTTTAATTAATTCTGTTTGGTTTTGGCAGAAGTTGGATAAGTTGAACATTGGTTGTCTGTTCCAGGCCTGCATTTTACCCATTTTACACCATCAATGGACATTTTCAATAAATATCTTATAATAATGATAATAATAATATCAACTAATTTTTCATTTTTTTTTTTGAACAAAAATAATTTTTCTAGTGAAAGCGAATGGTTTTGTGCATCGAAGTAATAATTTTCTTTAATGTGAAGGGAAAAAAAATAAAATAAACGTGATCATAGAACAACTACCATGTTTCTTATCAATCAGGTTGTCCTCAAAAAGGCCAACTCTTAAATCTGAGTTTAACTTTGTAACCAAATTTAAATGAAAAAATACGGAAAACAGAAGAAAATAGTAAAGGTAAACTAAGGTTTAGTAGAGTTCCTCTCTAAACCTAAATCTAAAAGAGCAAATTTTAGTGCCTCCCAAGTGCAGATTTTTTTTTTTTTTTGCTTTTAAAAAAAAAATAAAGTGGGCACATAAAGGCCCGTGACAATATGTATATGAATAATATTTAAGTTAATATATATTTTTGTTTGCTTGTTTCCTCTCCTTTATTCTTTTTTTTTTAATTTAAAAAGAATAATCTATTTGTGTTACGAACATCATATATAATCATATTATTATTAAATATTATAAAAGAAATAATAATTAATATATATTGTTGTGCAGAAACTACCAGTGGACCGACCGTCGAGTCCTGACTATCACCGACGCCACAGATCGGAGAGATCCTCCATTGAAAGACCTCCGCGAGATCTCGAACCTCCACGACCTCCCAAGAGAAAGTCCGACAACCACCACAACGACCACGACTACGACTATGACAGGCATCACGATCGCGACGACACTGATCACCACCACCACAACAACCAACATCACCGTCGCCGTGCCGAATCTTCCGAAGCTTCCGGTAAACATTCCGCCGCCTCTGCTTCGGAGTCGGCGGCCGCGGCGTTAGATCGTAAGCATAAGGCAAGCGTCTTCTCACGCATAAGCTTCCCGGAGGGTGAGGCGGCCAGCAAGAAGCGCAAGGTTTCCTCCTCCTCTGCTCCTTCGGCGGCGGTGGAGGCGGCCGGCGTCGGTGCCTCCGCGTCTTCGGCGGCTCATCACCACAAGGCGACGGCGAATGGATACTACGACGATCACAAGTCGTCTTCTTCGTCAATGAAGGCAGCGGCGGCAGCGTCGGTGACGAGCGGGGGAGGGAGGAAGTCGCGGTCGGTGGAGTACGAGTCTAGCGACGACGAACGGCATTTCAAGAGGAAGCCGTCAAGGTACGAGCCATCGCCACCTGCACCGCCGGTTGAGATGGAAGAGCCGAAGCACTCTAGAGGTTCGAGGGAACGTGATCGGAGCAGGCACAGATAGAGCAGAGCAACTGCAGTTTCTCTCTCCCTATCTCTGACTGCTGGTGAGAGAGAAAGAGGAGAGAGAGTGCAATGAAGACTACATGCAGCACAGGGGATTAGAGGGGAGAGATTGAGTGGGTCATCGTCATGATATTGATATGATCGAAACTTTTTTTTTTTTTTTTTTTTTTTGAGGGGATAATTCTAAAATGGGTGATGATTTTATCCTCCGTCGTTATGTAACATTTTGTGGAAGGCTGGAGCTTTATTTTCAGTTTATACGTACTCTTTGCTTAAATTTTATAATAAAAATTATTTTCCGACAATAAAGGTTAATATTAGACTTTTTTTTTTTGAACTGAATATTAAACTTTTCCTTTTCAATGCTTTAGTCGTTATGAACCTTATAATTTTTCCTTTAACTGTTTGATTCGTAGTATTATTATTATTGATTCATTTCAAGCATTCTTACTTTCTATTATAAAAGCTTCTTGTTGGTTGTTTGCTAAACGTATTGGGGGCTCCACTTTTAACTAGTGTGGCGAATGTAACTCTTCGTGGAATGTAACTCTTGGTGGTCTACGTAGACACATAATTTTAAAAGAAGAAAAAGAAAGAAGAAAGAAGAAAGAAGGCTTAATTTTAAAAATTCTTTCCGAATTCTTTCTGAATTATGACACTTATAACACTTTATATCTCGAATTTTAAAACGTAATATCCGTTTTTCCCGAACTTTATTTTGTTAACAAGTTTTCTCTTTCTGTTACAATAAGTGATGGAATTCGACACGTGTTAGGCACATGATCCATCTGAGGAGGGTAATTCTAGACTAATTCTGAAACTAAATCTCTTGCACAGAAATTCTCTCCACTGTCAAACCACTTTCACAATTTGAAAAAAAAAAACCGACTCCCTCTCTCTAATTTCTCTCTCTTCCTCTCTCTCTTTCTCGATTATCGCTCTATCTTTGAGAAACAAAAAAAAAAATCCCAAACCTGAGAAACTAGATCTCCACCTGCAACATCGATGGGGTTGGGTTGTCGAGACTGGACATAGAGTCGCGATGGGGCTAGAGAGAGATAAGAGCAACGTTGGGTGCAACAATGGTGCGTCGCAGGAGGGCTAGGCTTGCCGGGGCTAGAGAAGGAGGAGCGCGGGTCGCGTGACGATGGTGGGGATTTGGGTCACCGAGGCTGAAGAGGGAGGAGGCGCGGTGGGTCGGCGAGATGACGACGGCTGGGCTCGCCAGATAGAGAAGAGGAGAAGAAGAAGGAGCCTGGTATTAGAAATTGGAAAAAATGAAAATTAAAAAGAAAGAAAGTCAGAGAGAGATAGACGAGAGATATAGGATTTTCTTTATGTTTTCTTATTATTTTTTATATTTTCAGAAGGTTTAAACGTAATTGTACTTTTAATTCTCACTAAATAAGTACACGTTCAATTTTCGTTACTCATTATAACATAAGGGAAAAACTTATTAACGAAACAAAGTTCGGGGGGAGCTGATATTGCGTTTTAAAATTTATGAGGTAAAGTGTTACAAGGGTCATATTTCAGGAGAATTTTTAAAATTAATCCAAGAAAGAAAGAAAGAGAAAATTATAAAATTGACCTTTAAAGAGTGGATGAGTAAAAATTTTACTCCTCACTCTTAATTAACTATATAACAAAAATGTATTAATCAAAAGTAATAATACAAATCTTAATTCATACACTTTTTTTATATGCTTTTTTCTTTTACTCTTTTAGGAAAGTCTCACGAAGTATTTTAGTATTTCATTAAAATACGACTTTTAAGCCTTTTTTTTTTTTTTTGAGAGCAAAAGCCTTAAACTTTTTTTTTAGATAAAATAAAAAGTATCTCATGCGACAAACATGGGATGTTGTGTGAGATTAATTCCTGAAAAACGACATCATTTAGTTGAGAATTGATTTATTGAAGAGCCAAAACGCAGAGTTTTGGTTAATGGAGCAGAAGCCTATAATCTGAAGACACGTGGAGAAGGAAAGTCGGTTAACTACTCTACAGAAGGAAACTTTATTAAACAAGGCATTATCCTGCTTCTAGCAGGCTCGAAGAGAAAAAAGGCGAGCAGAGTACTTTTTTTGTAAGATTGTACTGAGAGAAACACGTTCCTGTAATTGAGAGATCTGAGAGAGTGTTTGGGAGCTAAGAAAATCTGGGTAAAAGGGTTTCTTTACTCACTGGATATTTTCTCTGTATAGCACTAGTTTGGGATTTCTCTGGGTGTTTCTGGGTTTACTTCTTGTAATCTCTGAGTGATTTAGATGTAATCAATTCTCAAATAGTGGAAGGGCTTTCTTGCGAATGAGCCCAACGGGGGACGTAGAATTCTTGAATCCGAACCTCGGTGAAACAATTTGCGCGTCGTTGTCTTTTGATTTCTTGAGTTCTATTTCGAGTCTGTGTTAGTTTTCCTAACATGTGGTTTTCAAAAGAAATATACCTTAAAACAAAATTATTATTGGGGTTAAACTGAGTATTTATTAAGAAATGAGTCTCGAATGTGAATATTTTTTTCGGATAATGATGTGATATATTTATTATTAGACTGGTGGATTAATTACGAAAATCTTCCTTCAATTTTCAACATTTTTCACAAACTTTTAAAAATATCGTAATTCAAAATATCATATAATTTTATTTATTTGATAAAGAAAATCAAATTATACTCTAGCGAATTGTAATTTCAGAAATAAAAGGTACTTGTAAAAAAAGTTGAAAAAAGAGGAAAGATCATTGTCATTAACTCAAACATAGTTGGTTTGTATTGAGCTTCGACCCTTCAACTTATGAAAAAAGTTGAAAAAAATTAGGCCAAAGATCACTTCTCACTCCCAAGTAAGAAAAGGGTACGCAAGAGATTTCCATTTCCATGCATCATAGTGTTTATATGCTAAAAGTTAGTATTTTAGTAACGCAATTCCAAACGACAAACTAATTTGATGCACTTCAAAAGGCATAAATCATCTGTAAATTAACTTCAATTCATTTTTTTTTCCCTTCTCCATTTCAATCAAACCCATAAAAAAGCTACACGAAAGTAACTGAAAATTCTACCAAAGGCGAACATAACAACATAAGGTACAACTGTGTTGACATTCCATAAATAAAGCAGGTCGAGATGATCGTTTATTCTAACATCGAAAATAGATGGAATAAGAGATTCAGGAACTTTGATAACTATTTATAGCCTCTTGCAACTCCTACGCCACGATGAAAACCCTGCAAACATTTTTTTTTTTAAAATTTGAGGAACAGAAATAAATCAAAAAGTGTCCAGTCCAAGCGGATTAAGAAAGGAAAATATAATATATTATTCCTCTCAATATGCTTAAAGAGAAATTTACATTTGACCAACCTAAAAGAAAAATTATGAGATCGCAGCACAAAATCATTAACATTAATTATAGTAAACTCTATATTTGAATCACAAAATGACTACTTCAGGTGAAATTGCACTCCTAACATAATCAGATATGACGCTTGGTTAGATTAACTACCTGTCGACCAAAGTTCACAACACTAGAGTAATCTGGACAATGTACTTGTTTATTTAATGCATATTGTTATTAGCTCATCCAACTAAAAACAAATCATATCCAATTCAATTGCATATTGTTAATTTAATCTAATGCCGTTTTGAGTATTAGCATTGAAACCAAGCACGGCTGCACAAACCTGAGAAAGAAAAAGTGCGTAGTAGAAACTCGAAATCTACACATGATTTTTCAATTATGAATTAGGCATAATCCAATAAAGTTTGTAAAAGTTACCATTACTAACTAGCAAAACTAATTAGCCAAACCAGGATATATCTACTCTAGAATTTGAAAAATTTGACACGCAGCATTCTTTCTCACAAACCTCGTTTCTTTCTTCAATCATCTTCTCAGGCCAATCCCAAATCATGATTTTATTCGCAATGAAAAGTACAAAAATCAAAAGAAACGGAACCAAATTACAGTTCTAAACCAAACCACGTTGCAATTGCATTAAACAAAACACAAAACACAAAAACCAACTAATTAATTATTACAGCAGAGAATAATCTATTCACTAAGCTTAAACTTTTAAGGGATTTGAACGCTAGCATTGGATTGAAACAACCTATAAGTTACCATATTGCATTATCAATTTTTCATTTTGTTTTTTGGGGCAAAACATTGGCATTTAACAACCTATAGATCATCAATTTTTCTTTTTGGTTGGGGAAAGCAAAAAGATAGTGAATTTCCCTTAAATTAAGGTAATTGGCATTAGCTGCTGAAGAATATCGAAATTGAAATCCTACATAACTGAAAAGATTCAGCAATGGGGAAAAAAAAGCAATACCTGAAAAGGAACAAAATTAAGCACTCAGCAAGGGAATCATGCCGGTCTTTCTGGCATAAGCAAAGATCCCACCGGCCTCGATCACCGGCCCGGCATCGCCGATCGGCTTCAATTTGTACTCTTTC